TATTCAATATCATTATTATTATTTCATCTGTTTCTTTCTGACTTAGTTACCATTATTCTCATTCTATATTTCTACAAGTTTTTACTAATTCTCCCCCCCAAAAAGACATATACACACAACATACAAAACATAAAAAAAATCTTTTTGGAAAGTAACTTGGACCCAGGTGTCTCTCTCTTCATGGACTTCAATTATATTCATGCTCATCTTACATATCATTACTTATTTTATTTACCATTCTAAGCCTTCTATATTAACTTCTCCACATATTTCACCCTTCTTAATTCTATCTTAATTAATCATCTTAGTTTGAATCATTATATTTTATCTTTTGTCCATTTTTTATCATCCCTTTGTCTCATTCCTTATAAAAAAGAAGAAAATAAGTTTCTCCTGAAATCATTAATCAGAGTATGATGCCTTTCTATCTCCCCCCTAAGTTAATCAAATTAATCTTTAAAATAATATCCAATACCCAATCCGATTTTGCTTGGTACATTCTATCTAACTAATACATCCAACATAATTAAGTACATAATTAGACAGTAAATCCAAATATTAAAAAAAGATACTATAATAAAAATTTTATAATAACATCAATACCATAATCTTATTAAACTCTTTAATTAAAACAGTATTCTAAACCTCCTATTATTAAATTTTAAAGCCAATCATTTTTAAACATTTTAACATTTTAATCTCTTATCAACTCTTAAACCATTACAATACTACCATCTCATCTTATGTACCTTGCAAAATCTTTTTTTTTTTAAAAAAATTATACTTTATCCATTATCCATAAAAAATTCCTTTTTTTCATTTAATTTCAAAACGTAGTAGCTTTTCTCCACCTTTTTCCTTTCTTTCTTCTCCCAACAAACCTTTCTACCCCCCCTTCTTCTAGCCTCTGCCTTACCGGCTTCCCTTCTCTGTCGTATTCCTTTTCCCTTTTGTTTACTATCATCATATTGGTTTTGCACCTTATTTTTCCCTTTCTTAAATGTTTTTTTAGATCTTAAGTCCTTAAGTCCTTTAGTTTTCTTCTTTTCTCTTCTTTTCTTTTCTTTCTCTCTTCCTTCTTTCTTGATCAAATTCTGAGATTCATTAAAAATGGCTCCTTCCTTTCTTTCTTGTTCCTCTGCTGTCTTCATCTGTTGTAATGTTTGTTGATAGTTAGTAAGCGCCATTTCTAAAAAAAGGAAAGCTTCTTCCACACCATCTTTACCATTTTTTTTTGCTTATTCATATTCTTTTCTTAGTTCCTCAACAGAAAGAGCCATTATAAATCTTTTCTTTTCTTTTCCCCTTCTTTCTTCTTACAACAACCAGAATATTCAAAAGAAAATAAAAAAAAATAAAACAGTCCCAAAGTTATCAGTCAGTCCAAACCAAGGCAGAGTTCTCACTTTCTCCTTCTGGGGTAATATCAATCAAAGAGAAAGAAAGTCCAAATCTGTTTAAAGTCTTATTGCAATATATTCTAGTCTTCAAATCCTTAAGGCATCTGCTCCAACAAAATCTTAGCATACAAATATTTTCTTTTTAATCCTCTCTCTTCCCACTCATCGCTTAAAACCGATTTTCACCTAAAAAAAATAGGTTTCTTAATATCCAGTTATTTATTCCGTAGGAAAAGAGGGAAAGCTATCCTTTCAGCACCTTCAAACAGCCGCTTTTTTCCTCTTCTGGCAGGTATTATTCAGAAAGTCCTACTTTTCAGGAATTTTATTAAATATGTCTTAGAGTCCTAGGAGCCAAGAAAAACTTTCTCCTCTCAAGCACTTTCTCCACTTCCTCCTGCGCATTCTTACCCGGCTGCCAGCTTCTTTGTGGCGGCCATTACAGACCGCCGCTGCACCGTCCTGGGAAAAGGGGGTTCTGCCGGCCGGGGAGGGGGTCTGCAACACCCCCAAACCCCTCTCCGGATCCCCCCTACCTTCAGCTGCCCCTGCAGGGCAGCCTAGCTCCGTACCCGTCTGGGTCGGAGCCCCAGAAGCGGCTAGCGCGGCAGGGATCGCGCAGCTTCGCAAATCCCTGCCGCTCGCGAAGCCGACAAACCGGAAGTCCCCCGACATTCTGGTACCTATTGTGGTTGTTGAAGACTATTTGTATTAAGTATGAAGGTGTTAAAAGAAAAATAGTGACACTATTAAAAAAAATGAAGATACCATAAAACAACTCAGGCTTTTGGAGTGGATGAAATAAACTATGTGAAACCATATTGTGCAAGAGATGCAGTCCTCCTGATCAAAACCATTTCTTTCTTACATTAAAATTCAATTTGTTAGACTACAAACTGAGTTAACTGTAATTCTGCTTGCAGAGCAGAGTTTTATTTGCTTGAGTGCTCATGCTGTTAAATTTCTTCCCTTGGCAGATCAAACGTGCCTTCTTCTATATGTTACCAAGTGGAAACCTTTTATTTGAGATGCATTACTATTGTAATGGCTTGTAAAATATATTACTGATTTAAAGCAGATATGTTCACTCACACCAGGAATGGTGCTCTCAAAAACAGATGTGGCTGGAATAATTATTTATTTACTATGCTTATATACCACTGTATGAATCTAAATGATCTATAGCCTGCGGTGTACCAGACTGTTCACAGTGTCCTCACTGCCATTTCCTTTCCAACCCAATAGCCACAATTCTTGCCCCAGTTCCATTACCTCCAAAAGAACCACATGTATTATGCATCAGCTACATAATTTCATTCTGCCCCAATTTTCAGAGTCCTGCTAGGACCTTTGCATTTCTCTGTAACAACTACTTATTAATGAAGTTGTTCTGAATTGAAATATTCCTCTGAATTTAATCCAGTTCCAGTGGCATGTTCAAAAATATTTTCTGTGCAGTTGTTATCACTCTTACTTGGCACAATACTTCCATTACTGATCATACTAAGAGAAATTAAGTTTTATCTATAAGTTGTGGTTCTTTCATTCATGTTCTTTGAACTTGACTGTGCATTTTTTCCTGAATGCCATCACTCTGTTAAACAAATAATTCCCTCAACACCATCAAACTATTTACTAAGTCTGCATTACTTTTACTATTAATCCTCCCATCCTTCCTTTCACCCATATCCTCCCATTTATGACTGTATGACAGTAACTTTGTTGCTTGTATCCTAATAATTTTTATTGACTGTTTCCTAATATGATTTGATTGCTTATTGTACCCTATTATTAAGTGTTGCACCTTATGATTCCTTACTCTTCACAAATGCATCTTCTTTTTATGTACACTGAGAGCATATCCACCAAGACAAATTCCTTGTGGTCCAATCACACTTGGCCAATAAAGAATTCAATTCAACTCAATAAAATTATTGCTCTATTTCTTTATATACATGTAAGAGCTCTCTGAATAATAAACATATTGAAAGTGGAAACTACAGCCTTTTTCCTAAAAAAAATATTTTTAATCATTTATTTTCTGGACTAATTTTATAAGACTGCTCAACTCAAACAAGGTGACTTGGGTTGGGGATCTACAAAACTTTTAAAACCTAAACTATTGAAGGTATCACAGGAAAATCAATTTGCACTGGCTTCTGTCATTATTAATCTGCCAAACAGCAGATTATATAGTGGAACCTTCGGTCACAACCATAATTCGTTCCGTAACTTCGGTCGCAACCCGATTTAGTCGTGACCGGAAGCGAGACTGACTGTGCGTGAGCCTTTAAAAAAAAATTGGCATGGAAGGGGAAATCGGTGCGGAAAGGGAATTGGCCCTGGCTGTGTTTGATCCCCACCTGATTTTTGAATTGTGACCCGATTCAAAAATGTGAATTTTTTGGTCACAACCCGATTTGATCGTGGTCAGAAGCATTCATGACCAGAGGTTCCACTGTACTTTAAATTGCCACAAGGCATAAAAGAAATATATTGTGACACATATTTGATAAATAAATTATATACAAATACAGCGATTCCAACTATTTGAACTTATTACCACACACAAACAGGGCTTAGTTATGAGTATCCTCATCAAAATATCTGGGCCTTGTAAGATAGCATTATGTTCCTGAAGCAGTCCTATTTATTCTTCAAACTCAAAGTTTCCCAATCTATAGTTTATCATAAACCAGCTGAGAAGATAAGCCACCTATGTTTGGGGAAAGAATTGTAGTAGTTACTGTGAAGTGACAATATATGGTGACAATTATATTTCCTCTTTAGGAAATAATGCATGAAAAATGGCAAAAGTTCATCTGCAAAAAGTGATTAGAGGGCTTCTAAAATTAATTAAAAACAGCAAAGGGAAAATAATGTCCTCAAAAAAAAATTAAGAGCATCAAATATCTTATAATTACAACAGAAGAACAAACTTAAGAAAATTAAACATCTTAAAAGAAAAAAAGGGATGTTGGCACTAAATATAGTAAATTAGGCCCCCAATGGTTTTTTCTGCCAAGCATATTTCACAAATAGTGGACTCTTACTAAAACGGCCCCTTCACAATCAGCCATATGCTGTATAACAACCCTCAAGCAAGGATAACGCAGGTAACACAAAAAGCAGAAAAGATAAACACTTCTCCTTATTAAGCACGTTAATCCGCCAACCATGTATGACTTCCCTTCCATAAAAATACTAATAAGAATCTGTTTATCTTTCCAAGGTGGCTATTACAAACATACTATATAGCTCAGGAGCATCCATATAGAACAGAGTCCTCACTCTAGTGGCAGGAAAGCCTTCTGAGTAAATTCTCTGCTAACTGGAAACTGAAAAAAGAATATCTCACTCTTTGATGTAATGGTGTTTCCGTTTTCTGAGAAATTTGAAAAACATGAATACTCTAGAGCAATGTCTCTCAACCTTGGGAATTTTAAGATGTGTGGACTTCAACTCCCAGATTTCCAACTCAAATCTTAAAATGTTTAAGGTTGAGACATTTTGCTCTAGAAGAAAGAGGTGCTAGAGGAGGCAGGAATCAAGAACATTTGCTCCTGATAAGCTAAAAGCCTCAGAGCGCTGCAAAAGTACCTGTTGTTTCAGCTGCTGAACCAAGCGGTCTTTTTCACGTTTTAATCCAGCGACTTCCTCCTGAGTTTTTTTCTTAGAGGACGAAAGCTCCAGGAGAGCAATGTTGGCATCTTTTTCACTAATGGCAGCTAGAAGGGCTTCTTGTCTGAAAAAAAAAAAGAAAAAAAGAAAAAGAAAAGAACTGATTAACTTCACTCACCCTGCTCAAATGTATCTGGCCCTGTTCATAATTTAATGCCAATTCCTGCTTTGTGTTCCTTTTAAAATATCAGGATGCATCTAGTTAAAGCTATGGTCATTTTAGGACTCTTATAGAGGTGATATGTTGAGGGAACTATAAGCCGCATTGGCTTATAGAACTGCAGAAAAAACGATAACTACCAACCTGCCTTCCATTAAGGACCTATATACTGCATGAGTCAAAAAGAGGGCTGTGAAAATGTTTACAGACCTCTCACATCCCGGACATAAACTGTTTCAACTCATTCTCTCAAAACGACGCTATAGAGCACTGCACACCAGAACAACTAGACATAAGGACAGTTTTTCCCCGAACGCCATCACTCTGCTAAACAAATAATTTCCTCAACACTGTCCAACTATTTACAAAGTCTACATTACTGTAACTATTAATCTTCTCGTCGTTCCTATCACCCATCCCCTCCCACTTATGATATCCTTATGATTTATATAGATTGTTTCCTAGTATGATTTGATTGCTTACTTGTACCCTATGACTATCATTAAGTGTTGTACCTTATGATGAATGTATCTTTTTTATGTACACTGAGAGCATTTGCACCAAGACAAATTCCTTGTGTGTCCAATCACACTTGGCCAATAAAGAATTCTATTCTATTCTATTCTATTCTATTCTATTCTATTCTATTCTATTCTATTCTATTCTA